AAGCACAGATGTATGTGACACGAATTGATTCCCTGACAGGCTCATTTTTAATTATCGCCTGGTGCCTGATGTTTGTATTTATTTATTTCCATCAAAAAAAAAGAAAACCTTAAGTAAAACCTTAATGGAGGTGGGTTTTATTATACCGCTGTTCTATAAGTTTTAATTGGATGCGCCTGTTATTTTGGAAGCTGATTAAAAGTTTTATATGTGCAAATGATTGACAGTCAGACTTCTCCCGTTCCTCCAGCTCCCACCATTGAGTTCGAGCAGGCGTCCTATCAGGTGAGAGAGCCTCCCGGTCCAGATGGCATCGAAGTGCTCAACATCAAAGTGATCCGCCGAGGAGATCTGGACCGAACGTCCAAGATCCGTTGCAGCACCCGGGATGGATCGGCCCAATCTGGAGTCGACTACAATCCCAAGAGTCGAGTGCTTAAATTCACCCCGGGTAAGTGCTGAAAAGGCTCCTCGTTGGGACTTGGGAAGAGTGTTAGTGGGATGATTTTACTGGGAGTAAATATGTTTTTTTTTCTCCGTAGGCATGGACCACATCCTCTTTAAAGTGGAGATTTTGTCCAATGAGGACAGAGAGTGGCATGAGTCCTTCTCATTGGTCCTTGGGCCTGATGACCCAGTGGAGGCGGTGCTTGGGGAGATCACAATGGCCACAGTGACCATTCTGGATCAGGAGGCGGCAGGAAGTCTCATCCTACCTGCCACGCCTATTGTAAGGAACCTTGGAGGATACATGAAGCAGGAGTGGAGGATAAGTTCAGCCTTTAGGAGAACTTTAGCATTCAGCTGAGAACTTAATCTTTTGTCTATTTTCTGCAGCACTTAGAGAATCTGTCACTTGAAACGTCTCCACTCCTGGCAAAAGCACATCTCAACCCTAATACATATTCAGAGAACTCCAAAAAAGCAGCAGCAAACGTGGGCAGCATTTTCCCTCAGGCACTTGTTCTTATGCGTTTACCAGAACCACTTACAATGAATATATCTATTCAGCTGCCATTAAAATATTATATGGTGGGTGATTTTACCCCAAACGACTTTTTAGGACGAATCTCATCTCATACTGTGTTTTGTACGCCAGCCTCATGAAATGTAAAAGCTGAACTCCTCTCATTTACACGATCTCCCACTCTCCTTCCTGCTCAGGTGGTCTCTCTCGCTGACTACGATCATGTCCAGGAGGTGATCAAAGAGGGCAGCAAGAAGACTCCCTCTCCAGGTTACCCTCTGGTGTGTGTCACCCCCTGTGACCCTCACTACCCCAAGTACTCTGTGATGAAGGAGCGCTGTGAGGAGGCGGGAATCAACCAGACCCAAGTTCACTTCTCATGGGAAGTGGCGGCTCCCACTGACACCAGCGGCGCCCGATCCCCCTTTGAGACGGTCACAGATACAACCCCGTATACTAGCGTCAACCATATGGTGAGTTAAACTAAGGAGTCAAATAAATCTGAGAGGCGAATACATTAGGTTGTTATTTAATAGGATTTATCGGCAGTATGACAATAAAATTATGTTTAAAAATTTTCCTCTGTGTGTGGAAACTCTCATGTGTCTCAGGTTCTGGACAGCATTTATTTCAGCCGGCGCTTCCACGTTCGCTGTGTGGCTCAGGCCAGAGACAAAGCTGGACACCTGGGAACACCGCTGAGGAGCAACATCGCCACCATCGGCACAGAGGGCTCCATCTGCCACACACCCGTCACCACGGGCACCGCCAGAGGCTTCCAGGCTCAATCCTTCATCGCCACACTCAAATACTTAGACGTCAAGCACAAAGAGCACCCCAACCGGTGCGTAGCGGCTTTTTAAACCAGATAAGCATCTTCACCAAGAGTTTATGCTTATTTCTGCTCTTCTCTGTATGTCCCGGTTTAGGATCCACATTTCAGTCCAGATCCCCCATCAGGATGGCATGCTCCCCCTGGTTTCCACCATGCCGCTGCACAACCTTCACTTCCTGCTGTCAGAGTCGATCTACAGGCAGCAGCACGTCTGCTCCAACCTGGTCACCCTCAAAGACCTTCAGGGGATTGCCGGTCAGTCACACAAACACAGACCTCCTCACAGCTGGAAATTTCATCTTCAGGAGGCTGCAGTGTGATTAGATCCACGTTTGAACCATTTACAGTATTGAGGGCTCACATTTGAATTACCACCATATTAAAATTCTTTAATTTTCTGCTGCAGTCAGCTTCATCTTCTCGTGGTTTAATATTTTACAGGCAGACAATTTTAATCAATGCCTGCAACATTTCCTGATTGATTTAAAAAATAATTATTAAACCAGACGTGTAGTTTTCTAACTTGTCTTTGACAACATTCTTCCTCAGAGTCGGGCTTCCTCGATGATGTATCGTATGACAGCATCTCTTTGGGGCCCGGCTACGACCGCCCCTACCAGTTCAACCCCAACGTCCGCGAGGGCAAGAGCCTCCAGTTCTATAAGCACCTCAACCTCAAGAGCTGCATCTGGACCTTCGATGCCTACTACGACATGACAGAACTCATCGACGTGTGCGGGGGCTCAGTCACCGCGGACTTCCAGGTGCGTAGGACGGTCAAAGGCAGAGTCTTTAAAACAGTCGCTCTTCACAATGTTTTCAGTCTTCTTGATAAATTGAATCAGTTCTTATGGAAGAGTTATTTCTGTGTGCAGAAACGTACAAAAACAAATTGATTTTAAAAATCAATTATAGAACTCACTGGCAGCAAAGGTGAAGAAGGTGAGAGGGGAAAAGGGTTACTCATAAGGGAATCTAAAAGCGTAACACAAAAACACGAAGAGTACAAGAAGACCACTGGGAGCAGAAAACAGATGTCTTGACTAAGGAAAGACAAAACTATCCCCAGACTGCACATCATCGACTTCTCTCCTCA